TGATGGCGCCTTGACTGAGTGTGGAATCATGGGAGTTGTGGTCTTCATCCCCACAGCCGACGCAATCCGACGGGACTCGGGCAGAAATCATGTTCATGGATGAGCTGATGATTTATTCATTAAAATGAAGCAAGGTGAGGCTGAAAGCCATCGAAGCGAAATGAGGCCGCTGAACGAGCGTGACACGCGGCTCGAAAGCAGCGGAGCTTTTATTATGCCACAGTCGACCGCTTCCGCTGCTTCTGGTCGTGCGTATGTGGGGTAAAGCAGCAGAGCTTTTATTATGCCACAGTCGAGCGCTTCCGCTGCTTCCGGTCGTGCGTATGTGGGGTAAAGCAGCAGAGCTTTTATTATGCCACAGTCGAGCGCTTCCGCTGCTTCCGGTCGTGCGTATGTGGGGTAAAGCAGCAGAGCTTTTATTATGCCACAGTCGAGCGCTTCCGCTGCTTCCGGTCGTGCGTATGTGGGGTAAAGCAGCAGAGCTTTTATTATGCCACAGTCGAGCGCTTCCGCTGCTTCCGGTCGTGTGTATGTGGGGTAAAGCGGCGGGGCTTTTATTATGCCACAGTAGACTGCTTCTGGTCGTGCGTATGTGGGGTAAAGCAGCAGAGCTTTTATTATGCCACAGTCGACCGCTTCCGCTGCTTCTGGTCGTGCGTATGTGGGGTAAAGCAGCGCTGTTTTATCATACTAGATACGTTTGAAAGTTCTGTTATAATGCTACTCTGTGCAGTCGTCACCTGTCTAATAAAACACATAGCATATTAAATCGTCTTTGGTGTTTCCATGTTTTCTACAAAACAAAACCAGAAATCGAGGGGTTATGAGGTCATTAGCAGGCGATACAATGACACTACGGACACGCTCCGTGTCACTAGTTAAAATTGCTTATTTCTCTGGATTTAAATATTCTTCGAAACATTTGGGATAATGTAAGTAGTACACAAGTCAGCAAAATATATAAACACTGTTCTAGTGGTTTTCGGATATTTTAATAAAAAAATCTTTATTTAAATAAATGCATTTTTAAAACGCATCCCTGTCTTTACTATACGGTCTAATCAAATTCATCCAATCCGCCGTCAGCAGTGAGAGCATGAAGACCAATAATTCTGCAGTGAAGCTGACATACGCAATCCTCCTAAATGACAACATGTCGTGGAGCTCGCGCTCGGCTGTGATGAAGGTGTAATACGACGCATACGTGTACACAGTTAATACAGTATTCAAAGGGGGCGGGGCGTAAACAACCGCGCGTAAACGAATTACAATTGTTACATTGTAGCATAGGAAGTGTGACATCGGTTCCGCGCATGCGCACTGTGCGACTACAGTCCCATCGGTGTTTATAATCTGAATGTAAATGTATCAGGCCCATTTATCGTGTCTCTCCAGTTAATTGTGACAAATAGCATGCTAACACCCTTAGCAGTGCGTACAGGCAATCATATTCTGAGGTTATGTGATTTTTCCACTGGTTAAGGGTGGGAAATTCACACATGACTGTTTTCAAAAACACTTGGCCACTTTATGGTCCTTCTGAGAAGCATCGGGGGACACGATCCCCATCCAAACAAAGACCACGAGGAGCTAACAAGCCCAACTTTAAGTGCTCAAACCCCTGATGGGCAAAGATGAGGAGCCCGTCCAGATAAACAGAAACCCAGGCTCTCGCACAGCTCACCCGCTGAGGTCTCCTGTAAGTACCGCTCCAGCTGAGGGAACGACAGCTCGGGCAGATCCAGAACAGACCCGTAGCGCTCCAAAAACGAGCAGACCACCGCAAAACCGGGACTGACATCTGGAGGAAGAGCCGCTGTGGAGCCCGGAGCAGCCATCTTTCCTGGAGATGACGAGCTGTGCTCTGCTTAGACCCAAAACTGCCCACAATACACCGCGACACCCCCCAGAGAGCGCTTCAGCGAGATCCAGAGGGGCAGCTAACGCGCGCGGAGCGCCACAATGCCACCACCACCATCATCATCCTCATCATCCTCATCCTCACAACAATAAAGAGGATGAAGACTATAAAGTGCTGCTTTAACATGCCACAGTGTGTTTGTTTTTCCACTGGCTCTTCTGTAATAGAAACAGCGTCGTGCTTGTGTTTATTCGTGATCGGGATGAATAGTTAAATAAATAATATTTAAATGCAAATTTAAAAAAATAGAAAAATACTTTGATATAATATGATATATAACTATATATATATAATATATTATATAAAGTGCTGCTTTAACATGTCACACTTGTTTCCACAGACATTTTTATATTGTAAACAGTGTCGTGCTTGTGTTTATTAGTTAAATAAGTACATAAATGCGTAATATATTTAAGTATAGACATTAATAATAATAATAAAACAGAAAATGATATTTATTAATTATGACCAAATAATATAATATATATATATATTTTTTTTTCTGTATATCCTTTAATTAATTTACTACCGTCAGCAATATAATAGCACGAAAACCAATAACAGTAATTATGATATGACGTAAACAAATGCAATTATTCTAATAATAATATCTTATAATATATCGTGTATATACGTAGTGGCAGCTTATTGTACGTCACTGAACGCCAGCCAATGAGAAGCGTACGCTGATTTGACGCCGGCCAGTGACGTACCTTGTGGGCGTGTCCCGCCGTCACACGAAGAGAAACACAACACAAGCAAGATCGAGTTGCAGGCCGAGGCAAGATTATATAATATAAAGGAAATACATTTATAGTGCATGATTTATAAAGTTGTTTTGGTTACGAATATAATTTGTTGCATGAATAAAAAGCTCGTTTAAAGCGGATAAGGCATGTTTTGTTGTGTGCATTCATATACAAGTGCTTCTAAATGGTATTTTAGGTTAATAACATGTTAAAAAGCAGTTAGGGTTGATTAGATTAGAGTGGCATCGCTTACAACAAAGTGCATGGATGGTGCCAGATAGTAAAACCATAGTACTGAAATTTTAACCTATGTACTATTGTATTTACAAGGAACTTTAAAAAATAGCATGGTACTTAATAAAATGAATGCATGTGATTTGTCTTCCACTCTGTTACAGGAAAGCTGAGCATGTCTTCTCCAGAAATTGCATCTTTATCCTGGGGCCACATGAAGGTCAAAGGTTGCTCCACATCCTATAAAGACTGTAAAGTGTGGCCGGGTGGCAGCCGAGCCTGGGACTGGCGTGAAACTGGTACAGATGTAAGATTAACACCAGATCACACTGTAAAATCATCCTCAACTTATGACATTATCCTCTTACAAGTTCACATTGTCATAAAAATTGCAACGTGTTTGAGAGCCATTTGATGTTACAGAAATGCCTGATATAATGTACATTATGTCTTTTGTTTTGTCAGTGCAAAACACATTGTGTCTACTGGAATACTGATTTGTTTTATTACTGTTTTCTACATTTTAGAATAATAGTAAAGCTTTTAAAACTATGAAATAACACAAATAAAGTATGGGAACTATGTAGTGACCAAAAACATATCAGAACCAGTTTGCTTTAATTAAATGTTATTTATTAGAGATCTGTCTAACGTGCATCTGTGCTCCTGCCAGCATTATCCAGGCGTCCAGCCGGCCGACCTGGAAGACGTCCTGAAGAAAGGAGTGCAGACGCTGGTCATTGGAAGAGGGATGAGTGAAGCTCTACAGGTAACAATGTGAATTTGCTGATCAGCACTGTCCATCATCTGAATATTGCAATCTTTAAAGGAATAGTTCACCCAGAAATGAAAATTTGCTGAACATTTACTCACCATCAAGGCCATCCAAGATGAGTTCGTTTCTTCAGGGGAACAGATGTGGAGAAATTGAGCATCACATCTCTTGCTCAGCAATGGATGCTCTGCAGTGAATGGGTGCCGTCAGAATGAGAGTCCAAACACAGCTGATAAGAACATCACAATAATCTACACCACTCCAGTCCATCAGTTAACATCTTGTGAAGCTAAAAGCTGTGAGTTTGTAAGAAACAAATCCATCTATGATTTTAACTTCAAACTGTTGCTTCTGGCTAAAATAGGAGTCCATAATCCATAATAACTCTTCCTCCAGTTAAACAGTCCATCTCCTGTTGTCCTCTCAAATCCACCCACATATGTGTTTAGAGCTGTTTTTGCTAGTAAATGGTGTTTAATCTGTACATATTTCTCTCCTGATTCAGATGAGATTACTTTTTCCATTGGAGGAAGCCTTATTATGGATTATGGACTCAACAACAGTTAAAAGTTAAAACATCTTGATGCATTTGTTTCTTACAAACACGCAGCTTTTGGCTTCTCAAGACATTAACTGCTGGACTGGAGTGGTGTGGATTATTGTGATGTTTTTATCAGCTGTTTGGACTCTCATTCTGATGGCACCCATTCACTGCAGAGGATCCATTGCTGAGCAAGTGATGTAATGCTACATTTCTCCAAATCTGATGAAGAATCAAACTCATCTACATCTTGGATGGCCTGAAAATGAGTACATTTTCAGCAAATATTATTTTAAATAAGCTACTTTGCTTTTTTTATGTTTCAGGTGCCTCCGTCCACCCTAGATTACGTGAAGAAGCAGGGTGTCGACGTGAGGGTGTTTCAGACCGAGCAGGCCGTTAAAGAATATAACGCTCTGGTGGAACAGGGAGCTAAAGTCGGCGGGGTCTTCCACTCCACCTGCTGATCACATCATTAACACAACCAGCTAATTCATTTTATGGGTTGTTTAAAGTGCCTTACATTTCAAATGAACATTGTTTTCTTAATAGATGCTTCATAATTTACACTGAGCTATTGGATGATTTTTTTTCCTTTGGTGAAAATGTTATTTGCTTTATAATCGTTGGATGTAGGCTGTGAAAATACCCCATTATCACACACACCAGTGATACAAATGAACAAAAAAAAATACATTTATTTCAGATAAAACGTAATTGTGAAAACACTTGAGTTTGTGGTGGCTGTTAATTTCACATGTACTGCTTGGGTTCGTCAGGTCAGCGGCGAGCTGGTTTGGGCATGATGAAGACTTTGACGGGTTTGCTGAGGTGGATTGTGCCCTCGATGCAGCTCTCGCTGGTGGGCAGGCCGTCCAGACTCTCATTCCACACAGGTTTAGAGGCAGATGGTTTACTGCTGCTGGAGCTGTAGGCCAGGAGCAACCGCACCTCAACCTGACAGGCCTCTGAAAGTAAAAACCCGTTATTTTAGTATCGTTGAGATACTACTATAGTTTTTATTAATATTTTGAATTCGATTTTAATATTTTCTGTTTTCATTTTAATTGAATTTTTTTGTGTTTCTGTCATTTTTATAAATATGTTTATATAGTTTTTATTTTAGTCATTTGAGTTAAACTAAATATAAATGGGAAATGTTTTTAATATTTTATTTTATTTCAAGTAACAATGTTTTTTTTAATGGTTATAATAATATATAATAACACAATATAAAAAATAAGAACACAAAAATGTACGATGCACTTTAGATTACATTCTACTTTACGCTGCCATTGCACTCCTACAAAAATGACTGGGATGGTAACAGATGGTATATAAATGCACACATTAAAATACTATGGTATAGTAAAAAGCACTCCAAGGTACTTTTGTTAGTGTAGTGTACGAAAACCTTTTTAATGATAATGTCTTCCTGCAATTTGTTAGTCAGCATAAAACGTCATTTGCAAATATTTTACTTCAGTAATCCTAAGAATTTCCGTGCAAAAACAGTATACCGTGAAACTGATATAATTAAAGTAAATACTATTTTTTTTCTTTTGAATAGCATGCACTGATGACTTGTGCAAAATGAACCCTTTTTACAGACTGATGCCACATTTCCACAGTTATTAACATCGTAAATCTTAAAGGTTGTTTATATATATATATATATATATCCCTGGACCACAAAACCAGTCATTGAAATTGAGATTTATACATCATCTAAAAGCTGAATAAATAAGTTTCCATTGATGTATTGTCTGTTAGGATAGGACAATATTTGGTCGAGATACAAATATTTGAAAATATGGAATCTGAGGGTGCAAAAAATCTAAATATTGAGAAAATCGCCTTTAAAGTTGTCCAAATGAAGTCCTTAGCAATGCATATTACTAATCAAAAATTACGTTTTGATATATTTACAGAAGGAAATTTTATCTTCATGGAACAATAACATGATCTACTTCATATCCTAATGATTTTTGGCATAAAAGAAAAATCTATAATTTTGACCCATACAATGTATTGTTGGCTATTGCTACAAATATACCCGTGCTACTTATGACTGATTTTATGGTCAAGGGTCACACTTTTTATTATATGTCCAAAACTGTAATTTTTCACAAGCAAAAAAACTTAATTAATTAACATCTTGTCGCAAAATTTTACAAAAATCAAGATTTCTTATATTTGGTCATGGAATGATGCAATATATAAGTGCGATGCAGGGTATTTAAGACGATATTGGCTGATTAGACAGCAATGCTGACCTAAAATGCAAAATGTTTGCCCTCTCTCTCTTCACCGTTCCCACATCTCTGACCTCAAATACATAAAATATTACCCTTTTTAGACATAGTTTTTGAAGTAAAGTGTAAAGAAAATACTATACAAAACTTAGTGAAACAACCAGGGGCCACCATGGTAAGACTGTATTTTAAGAACTAATTTGACCAACTAGCAGTTGCCAAGGGGTAATCAGTTTTACTTTTCCAACACAAACAAGATCAAACTACCTTTTCATAACTGAATTTAAAGGGGTCATATGATGCGATTTCAATTTTTCCTTTCTCTTTGGAGTGTTACAAGCTCTTGGTGCATAAAGATCTGTAAAGTTGCAAAGACTAAAGTCTCAAATCCAAAGAGATATTCTTTATAAAAGTTAAGAGTCAACCACGCCCTCCTAAAATGGCTCGTTCTAACACGCCCCCACATACGTCACGATGTGGGAAGATTTGCATAATGCCGCCCAAATGTTCATGCAAAGAAAGAAGGCTAACTTTCATTCTCGCTGTAGTATTGTTGCTGTGTATAAGGCTCTGTGTTTCTCGTTGTGAAAGTGAAACTACTTTGTTTGGTCTTTCAAAAGAGGACGATATCCACTTCGTCATGCCTAGAGCTGATCCGGGCTGGTCGCTGAGGAAATACATCAACTTCGCGCTTTGGATCGCTGGATCGGCTTTCACCGTGGACAAAGCGGAGTTCAGCCCGGGGTCGTCACATGTGGTTGCTGCAAGCCCGCCGGCCGCTCCTTTGTCGAAACCTCCGGCCGTTCCTCACTCTAGGCCGCCGTGTGTGACGCTGTGTTTCTTTTTGAAAGTGAAACTACTTTGTTTGGCCTTCCAAAAAAGGACACGACTAGAAATCAGTGGTTAAGTTGTATTTACAACACTGTTCCAGAACAGTTCAACCCAAATATTCAGATGTGTCCAGCGCATTTTATGGAGGACTGTTTCCTGAACCTGGAAGAGTAGACTACAATGCCGGCTGTTCTGACTCACAGACTGTAAGAATGTCTTCATAATTAAAGGATTTGCCACTGATAATTCAAACGCAAGCTTTGAGCAGTGTAGAGTAGCACTTGTTGTTTGTCATTTCTCCGATCACAAATGCAGACATGATTTTATGTTTACGCAGCGCGATGCAATGCGTAAAAAGACATCACAAGTCATTATAATCCGTAATTATGTTCCCACTGAATGCTACAAATGCCTCATTTATAATGGGTTTTAATGTTTTTGTCTCGTCGCTCCGGCCGGACAGGGCATCACAGTATGGTAAGGGCGTAACACACGCTTGAGGTATTCAGCCATACATCACAACGCACTGGACAGCTGGCCAATCAGAGCACACCTCGCTTTTCAGACCGACGAGCTTGTAAAAATTTACGCATTTCAGAAAGGCGGGGCATGGAGTAGAAACAATAATATACAGTACTACCAAAAAGATTTTGTAAGGGTTTTATACATTTATGTAAGAAACTGTCAGCAACAACAATCATAATAGACAGACCTGGTGGCACATGGTCTTGCGAAGACTCCTCAGGTCTGTATAAAAAAAAATGAAAATGAAAAAATCCTTCAAATGTATGAGTTAACTATTCAACCACACACACAAGTTCTCTAATGCATGGTACATTTAATGAAAAAATAAAGAACAGGTATAAAGTGTGTATACCTGCATACTGAGTATCTAGGTGTATTACTGAAAAGAAAGAGGAAGACAAATGGTGAGGAGAAAAACAGACTCAGTAAGACAATTACAATAAATAAATGGCTGAGGAGAAGGGGGTATTTATAAAAGGATTGGGGGGGTGAAAACAGGTTTTTAAAATGTTAATGCACCTTTTCAGCCCCGTCTGCGCAAGTCTCTGTAATGAACCATAAAGATTCAAAAGACAAGACGTCAGATATGCACATGCACCAGTCACCAATGATACTCTATCCATACCAAAAGTATCAGCTAATATAACTAATACAACATTAATGATACAGGTCTTGTGCTACATACTTTGTGGATAAGTGCTAAGTGTTCTTCTGATTGGCTAAAGGCAGCGCCAATCTCCTGTATAGAGAGTCTTTCTGTCTGGCACTGGCTCATCCAGCTCTTGTATTCGTCCTGATTTGGGAGGCGATCCAAGAAGGTTTTGAAAGCCTCCCACACGATTTCCTGACATGCTGATGTAAAAACAACAACAACATTGTATTAGTGCAACAAAACGCATCAGAACAGTAAGTAATACAATCAGTCGGTCTTGACAGGAAAGGATTTCACAGGATTGACCACTTAAAGGGTTAGTTCACCCAAAAATGAAAATTCTGTCATTAATTACTCACCCTTGTGTTGTCCGAAACCCGTAAGACCTTCGTTCATCTTCGGAACACAATTTAAGATATTTTTGATGAAATATGAGGGCTCTCTGACCCTGCCATAGACAGCAAGGTAACTACCACGTTCAAGGTCCAGAAAAGTACCAAGATTATCGACAAAGTAGTCTGTGACATCAGTGGTTCAACTGTAAAGTTATGAAGCTACAAGAATACTTTTTTGCACAAAGAAAACAAAAATAATGACTTTATTCCACATTTTCGTCTCCACTGCATCACTTTGGACGCGCGTTCACGACAGTATCATGACGCGAGCGTGTGGCGGTGCTGACCCAGATCTGGCGTAATGATGTCATCACGCCGGATCTGGGTCAGCGCCGGCGCCGCCACACGCTCACGTAATTAATGACAGAATTTTCATTTTTGGGTGAACTATCCCTTTAAGTGAGGACTGGACACTTAGACACTTGGCTCTACAGCCAGGATTTTTGAGCTTCCCACGACAAACATACGGCTCATAATGCTAAAAAAAAACACAGAAGCAAACATATAGTCTAACATTCAGCATAATCCAATAATCTGCTGTTGTTACAAATTACATATTTGAAGTACTATGGAAGTACCTCATTTTTGACAAACATAATATTAATACTGTGATAGTCTTGAAAATGGTAATGGTAAAAGAGGAAATGGTAATTAATCATTACCACCGTATGTCAAAGCACCATGGATTTACCATCTGATACGTCACTGCAACACCCAAGTAACCTGATAAGACTATTTCTATTTTATTTTGCAAGAATGTTGAAATTGGAATTCTGTGCCACAGTTGTTTGCACACATGGGTGCATTTTCTTGACAGAGACAGCAATTTTTAGTCCAGACACTGTGGTGCAATCACAAACTCTACTTTTACAATTAGTGTACCAAATGTGCTTAGACAAGATCGCTCACACCCTCAATCTCAGTCATGGATATAAAGGCTTTGACCTTACTGGCCCTAATCCAATGTGTTAGCTGACTTTTACCCCCACCATATTGCCTTCTAATTCGATTGTCTTGAGGTCCTTCAACACTAACCTGAAACCTCAGAGTGGATCTGACTGCCAAACGCTAATGAGATCTCATCATTACATGCTGTCAGCTCTACAGAATAGCTTGTACTAGTTGATTATTATTTAATGGAAATCTTTGTAGATTCTTGATGATGAGGTTTTAACATAAATGTGGATCTGATTAGAATCTTGTTACTTGGGTCAAGATTTGGTTTTGGGTAATGGTCTATTTGCAATGTGCTAATGGTGATGATTATTTTAACCACAGGTCGGCACAAGAAGAGAATCTGCAAGAACTTCATGATTAGTTTTTAATATATCTAGCAATATATACGGTACAACTTTCTGCCAGCTGTCCTTGCTCTTACCTATTAATAAAATCCTAAATTCTTCAGAGCTAATGATGTCTCATGTTTGTGCTGTTGTTTTCCAACCAAAAATGATATAACTCTTTGTGGAATGATGTCATTTAGGGTCTATCTTCTGTTAGTAAAAAGGCTATTACCAAAAAGACTAAAAGTAGTGAAAATATAAAAAATTCACCTCTGCATCCACTTAATTGTGTTTTTGTGCCAAAATTGTGTATTAATATTATGTAATCTTTAATTATATCTTTAAGAGACACTAAGGCTTGTGGTTTTAGAATGTTCCAAAAAGGAAGTATACAAAAAGCTACTTTCAGTTCTTTGGCACTGAATTCTGTATATATAGTAAATTAATGCATGTACAAGCAACACTATACACAGATTATACAATGCTATTACTATTAATACTATAATATTAATACTAAAAGTTTAAACAGAATTAGTAATAGTGTCTCACCTCTGAGCTGGTAATATTTCAGGTGGTTACTGACGGCTTGCTGCACTGTTTCTTGACTGCAGAGGCGTAGTCCACTGGACAGAAAAACATTACGCTTATGTCTTGGCAAGGGTCCATGGTCTGCAGGCTTTTCCACAAACCTTTGAAACAATCTTTGTGAGTGCTTATCGGAGTTTCCAAACATGAGAATACGGTCAACTTCCCCTGAAAAAAGAAATATACAAACAAATTACTTGGTGATAACCATTAGCCATCACACTCCCACCTAATACATATATACACACATACACAAAGATACACACCTGCAGAAATATCCAGCTGGCTTATTGCAAAAATGCAGCCTAACCAACACAGGATACAGGTCCATATGAGTTTCCACATAGTGACTTCCTGTGGCTTGAAAATTAAGCTGTTGTGCAATAGTAGCCGCTTCACTTCGGACGATGTGACCAAACCTTCCCACACCTGTGCATACCTGTTACACAGTATCCACTGATAGTTATGATAGTATATTGTTGTTATAAATTGCTATCCAGATTGTCAAAGATGAGCACAGGTGTAGAACTGTGGGGATCCTATGGCAGGTAGGCAGATGGAAGGGATTTTCCTTTTTTTCTTCTTCTAATCTTGTTTAGTAATCCTGTAGAGCAGCTAATCAAGCAGTAACTGGAAGAACTGGAGTTAACTATGAGCGCAAACCAAATATACATGTGCTGGAAATGAGGAGTTAAGGAGAAAACAAGGAAAATCTGATTTGCCAGATATCCATAAACCAAAATAATCTGAACCCAATATACAGTTCTCAGTGGAGGCATACTAACGTGACGCTTACGTAATCACTGCTCAACTGAACACTTGACCACCTGTAAGGTTAAGGACAGGTGTTAATGGTTTAACCCTTAAAGTCTGCAACAACTGTAAATGAACTGGAATCAAGATGCTTTGACTCATATAAGCTTTGGACTGGTATAATGTCAAATAAACAAATGCAATATAGCAATTAAGTACAAGGTAATAAACAAGTAAATTACATGACCAAAAGTATGCAACAAAAGTTGCAATGAAATGGAAGTAGTGATAGAAATAAAATGTAGCACAGGGCAGATCTGAATGCAACCTTGCAGTTGAATATAAGAAAGGGGCAGGGTTTAAGTGTACTAAATGGCTGGACAAGTCTGGCATACATCACCAGAGAGAAGCCTGTCTTTTTAGATGGAGCATTGCAGTGCTCTAAAACTGTTTTTTTTACAAAACTATTAATGCCCAAATTTGCATTTTCAACAGATTCACATCTGGGAACAATAGCTAAAAACCGTAGCCACTGAATGAGACCTCCAAACATGCTCCTTCTTTCCAAAACCCTGCCCTCTAAAGACCTGACTGACAAGGATATCACAGAGACAGGTGTGATTTTTCAGATTCAGGGCCATTTTAGGAAATTATTCATTCTAAATAAGATTTTGTTTTAGATGTGGCCGTGCGTGACTTGCATGGCTAAGACTAAGACAGGATTTTGTACCCCCTGTGCTCACACACCGATTTAACTGCTACAATACAATTACCGTACATGTGGCTTAGTGTCTGTGTCCTTAGAAATTAACCACCACAGGTACAGTAAATGTTTGTAAAAATACAGCCCAGTGGTTTTTGTTTTTTTGAATTACACATTGAATTGTGTTGTGTTGTTTGAAGACTGGAGGGAATGTCCAAAAAGGTTACAGAAAACACACTGGTAATTTTCTGCCAGGACTTTATCCATTTTTTCCAGATTTTTTATTTTTATTTTTCAGTGTAGCATGCTTTCATACGACTTTTTATTGTATTAAAGCTACTATTTCTGTAGTATGTATACTTTGCGCTATCCATTTTGTGTAAAACATATCTTTACCTTTGTTAGCCTGATCAAACTGTTCAATACTTGAGATTTCCAAATCACTTATCATACTGGAAATGAAAGGTGCACACGACAGATATAGCAGAAATAGTATGGAAGCATGCTGTTCCAAAAATAGGCCTGTCTCAAAGGCAGGAAATGCTACCATGTAGCTTCCACCAGGTTTTACAGACCTCCTTGGTACACAAACTTAAAGATTAATAATCACAGTTTACCAGCTAGTATACACTAAATTGAATAAGCAAACAAATAGAGAACATCATTGTCTGGAATTCTGGGATTACTAGAAGAAGGTGGGTGGTCTGCATATCAGTCTAATCTCTAACTGTCTGATTAGTGTTAAACCTATACCATCCCTGCACGCACCCAGCCTTTTGATGCTCTACTTGACCACTACTAATGAATTAGCCAATCAGAACAAGGACTCATGCCACACCCAACTGCTTATCCAATCATGTGTCCAGGCATTCATTCATCACAACCGAAGCCACTGTTAAGAGAGAGCATAAACACAGTACAAATGTCCATTTTAACAGGGTCTTCTTATTTTTGGCTTGAAAGATCAATAAATGTTTTGCCATATGACCCCTTTAAAGAAAGTTTGAGCTACTTACCTCGACAAAAACACAGACATAGAAAGAAATTTGAGATTAAAAAGAGCAAAACGATTTGTCATCATTTTATCGACATTTATTTATTTCTAAAGTTTTTCCAACAGCGTATACAAAAGCATAAAATTAATATAAAAGGTTCAAAATCAGCTAAAATATAAATATATCTAGCGTAAAATAATCACATGAACCTAAAAGCTTAACATCACTGAATGACATTCCCATGATCTGTCCTATCTTCTAAAGATTCATGTCCCAGAGAGCCTTGCTGAAACCTGTACAGATGTAGGATGAGGTCTCGAATCTCCTCCCGTTTACCTCGCACCTGTTGCCGTGGAAACCAGCGCTCCAATCTCAATGGCAATTCAAAGTCTACCACAGGGTCCTTAAAGATATACAAATAGCATTGCTATCAAAATAGATTTGAAATTGAATTGAAAATTTGGAATAAAGAATGGGTGTAATTCTACCTGTAAAAAACTTTCTGCATATTGTAGCAGATAAAGGCCACAGTCACTGCTGTTGTCCTGTAGGGGGACTGTACAGTGGGAACCTATCATGTGGTCACCACTAAAGTCACGATGACCACCTCTTTTTGTCTGCCACTCCACCTGAAGGTATCTAAAAAAAAACATCAAAATAAATCATGTCATGAAAAGAAATTTCATTATACACATTATATATATTGAAATTACAGGCAAAAATATCGTGTTGCACTAGTACTATTTACATAATACCAGCAAACAATTAATAATAATAAAGATAGCAACAACAACAGCGCTTAACATAAATATGCGATTAAGCTGGACTGTATTAAGTTCACAAACACTCACTCGCGCAAGAGTTTGAAGATACGTTCGTGAACCGACAACTTCAGGGAATCCATGATGAGAATGCATGGTCTGAAAAAAATAAAGAGTAAAAATAATTCTCAAAACTCATGGTTAAAAAAAATGTCGTTTTAGAATGTTAGTTAGTTTTAGTTAAAAAATAGTAGTTTGTTGTGCGATACATTAGCAGTTAAATCCTTTTCCTGAAAGCCTCCATAACTGCATCATAAAAAATACATGAATAAAAAGCAACATAATTATAGAAAGAAAAACTTTTTATAATCAAAATAACAACAGAAAATATCTAAAATCCATTATATAGTACTATTTTAATATTATCGTAATGTATGCAGCACAAACGTTTTTTTTATTGGAAAACCTAAACTATTCTCTTTTCTCACACTAAATTCTCTACATTATGACAAAAACAAATCAGTTAATTTAAAACACACACACACACACATACACACATACCTTTTACACACAATAGGTCTCTTGCAGGTATTTTCCGTACACTTCTACAGAAGGAAAAGGTTCTGCTATAACTGTGCATGTGCAAACTATCTGTGTCCACATGACATTTTATCAAATCAAATGCCATTCAACAAATCCAATTGTCAAATAAAGATTTCTGACTAGCAAGACCTGTTATTAAAGTTAATTTGACTTACGGGAAGATGAGTCATGCTTGACTTTATACGACTGTCATCTAGATTAAGAACAAAAGTTTGTCTAGAATCATCAAATGATACTTAAAAGTAGTAAGCATACGTAAATTAATAATACATTTTTCAAAACTGACACATCTTACCTTTGTCCTCATCACTGTTGGATCTATTCTCTCCATGGATCTCACCCTCAGACTCACCCAAACCTTCACCTCCATCACCCTGCACAGAGTCTCTGCCGTCCCTTGTCACATACTGTGGCTCTTCTAACCCAGGAAAACAGATCACCACGAGGTACCAGTGAGCTCTGAAACAAACAGCAGACATGATATAAGACACTTATAAACATGATATATTACACACTGGTATATTCAAGGCAAATTAAAGCTCAAACATTTTATAATGTCCATAGAGAGCACAAATTAGTGAATGAAATTTCAAGAAAAAAATTGCAACATGTAATTAAAAAGCAAACACAGCTCTAAAAACACTGGCCCTCAAAAGTAATTTTGGCTTAAGTGTCCAAACACTGTATTTATATAGCTGATACTCACTCTTGATTGACAGGCACAAACAGGAAGTCTTTGTCAAAGATGTCTACATGACGCGTCCACGTCCTCACACGCTGATGCCTTCTGACCTGAGCTCTGATGGACAACCAAAGTTGTAAAAACAAAAAACATTTGTAACAATAAGCATTTATCAAAGGAAAGTGCATATCAGTATCTCAAAAGGGGTATATATATATGAATATATGTGTGCCGTCTAACAAATACTCACGGTGTGCTTGTACTGTCCTCATTAGCGTTGTCTCTGCGTGTGAGCTGTTTATAGAAAAAACTGCTGAAAACATGAGATCTGTCTACAGATGCTTGCGGGGCCTTTTGCACCAGAAGATACCTGAAAAACACACATACAAAATGCATCATCAGTTTGCGGTCAATGAGGACTCAAAGAGGACAGTTTGAGCCTTTTAGTAGCAAGTAAATAGGGTAGACATACAGTATTTAGGTTACAGTGATTTCAGATTAAGCACCTAAAACATACAGTACAGTTCAAAAGTTTGCAGTCAGTAAGAATTTAATTTTTTTTTGGAAAAACACGTCTTATGCACAACAAGGCTGCATTTAGCCTATCTGTTCAAAAATAAAAACAGCAATATTGCAAAATATTATTACAATTTAAAATAACCATTTTCTAATTGAATATATTTTAAAATGTAATCCATTCCTGTGATGGCAAAGCTGAATTTTCAGCAGCCCTTACTCTAGTCTAAAAGAAATCATATGTAATTATTATAATAAGCCTTATTGACCCCAAAGATTTGAAGGGTAATGTAATGTTAAAAACAGCCAATGTTTAGTTGTTTTTCCACATCATAGTGCTTCCAAACTTCATGCTGATAGTCAAAGCCCCCAGTGCTTACTTCTTCCCAAACAACTGTGAAGGAGTGACTGGATCTAATTCAACTCCTCCCACTGATACGTTGTGTATAAAAGCCATCCTTGGTTGTCTTACTTGAGGTAGAAGTCGATGATGACATCATTAAGAAACTCGCCACTGTCTAAACACTCCAGATCCTCTGTTGTCACGGTGATGGCTCCTTTCGAGGGTGGAGGAGGGAACTGAATCAATCTAAACAGAGTTGAATGAAAGTAAATTAGGACTGAGGTTCAGACAAAATAAATAGGGTTATGTAAACCCTTTGAGGCCAAGAAGAGTTTAATTTTTTTTTTAATGAACACTTATTCAGCAAGGACAGATTAAATTAATCAAAAGTGAAAGTAAAGACATTTATAATGTTACAAACTATTTCTATTTAAAATAAATGTTAAACTGTTAAACTTGCTGTTCATCAAAAAATCCTGAAAAAATGCATCACGGTTTCCACAAGAATATTAAGCAGCACAACTGTTTACATCATGACGATAATAAATAAGGAATGTTTCTTGAGCACCAAATCAGCATTTTTGAATGGTTTCTGAAGGCTCATGTGATACTAAGGACTAGAGTAATGATGCAGAAAATTTGGCTTTGACATTACAGAATAAATTATATCTTAAAATAAAGTTTTTTTTTTTCAATTGTAACAATATTTTCCAATATAAGTGTTTTTTTTGTTGTTTTTTTTGCTGTATTACTGATCAAATAAATGCAGCTTTGGTGATCATTATAGATTTCTGTCAAAAAACATTAAAAACATTTTTACCTGCATGCTGGACCACAGTGTTGGTACGGGGCCCATTCTGCCCCAAGTGTAGGTGCCAAGGTAACACTGTATGAACCCTGAGCTCTTCTGTGGCACAGCGTGTAAACTGGCTTCAACTGAACTTCAGAATCCTGAGACTGAAAACACACATTAAATCCATAAAACGGCCAAAACAGTTTTTCCCCTCCTATAATCGATCATTTTCTTCCTAGCCCTCCCAGATCAAACTAAGCTGGAAAAACAGATCGTTTAAAAACCACCACACTGACATACAGAGGGTTTGAAAAGTGAAAATTCTTCTGTATTTTGTATTTAATAATATGATACAATTCAAATAACTTGCCTATAATCAGCCTAATATTTTGTAACTAAATTATTAACATTAAACATTAACTACAAGAAAGAAATTAACTTGCAAACAAGAAAAAAAAGCAAGCATGCAAGATACAACAACGCAATATTTTGACTGAACCTTCTCAGTAGATACAGTGGCATGTGCAGCAGTGCTGGTTTGAGGATCAGTTTCGGGCATCAGCATTTGGAGAAGGTGTGTTTCCTGGGAGCTCTGAAGCAGTTTCAGGCTTTCCGGCTGTGTGAGGGGGGAGTGGAGTTTGAAGCTGTTCTGGTTCAAACCCACTATGTCCATTAAAGAGGCCAAGACAGCACTTTCAACACCAGTTACAGGTTCAGCCAAACACAGCAACACACACGTACTGCTTTCAGCTGTAGACACACAGCAAAACGTATGTAAAAAGGAGAAAGAATATAGAAAGTACTGTCATTGCTTTCAAAAATATTAGCAATAATAGTAACTATATAAAAATGTTTTACAGTTTCAACAATAAAGTAATCAAGAAAATAGACAGGTGGTTGACCTGGACATGTGCCTGGCAGGATGACGGACAGGTCATTGTGTAATTGGTGTGCCTGGGCATCAGACAGCCAAAGAAAGAGCAGAGAAGGTGGTGGGACCTCGTTGTCCTTAACCAGGCCACACCCCCTAAATGCAGGCTCCTCCCATACACTGTAATTACACACACTAGCCGTCGATATAGAAATGTTCATTGAAGAATCTGAACAAACAAAAAGAAAAAAGTTTTAAACATGCATAATATATCTACTAGACATTGATACAATCTTATCTATATCTAACATAAATCAGAAAATAAAAATGTATGGAATAATAAAGGTTATAGAGTTATTTTACTGTTAAATAATCTACAAAAGAAAACACAGCAATTGCTTAATAATGTACACTTCACCAGAATATTTCTAATAATACTGTTTGTGTTTAAAACAGGTTTACCTTTCAATGAAAATGTGATCTCGTCTGTAGTGATCTGAAAAATGGTATATTAAAAATCAGTAACACAAATAGAAAATAGAGAGAGATTCATAAACATTCTTCACACACCTGTTACACTATTTTCATGTAAATTAGTTTGAATCATGACTGGAATGATTCAGACAGATTTGATCACTCCAACCCATCAGATCAACATATCACTCTCACCTTCATACTCTCACAAGTAGCACTAACTCCACCCATGTGAAGGGAAGACAGCTGCAGCTCCATCTCAGCAGAACTCTGACAATCAATACATACATACACTTATCAGTGCCAGTCCCGGTTGCAACAGCCCCGTTAAGCTAAATGTTTTTACATCAAGATAAGCTATTATGAGACGCCATAAAATCAGCTATATTATTTAGTAAATATAATGAATTATTTTAGTCCAGTAGGTGGATCATCATACCCACCTGTGTGTGGTGTTTTTTTCTTCTTGTAAACTCTTACCCATTTATCTACTATATTCATGTCTTTTGCACCCTCCAGTGGCTGGATGTTTGGGGCAGAGGCTTCCAACTCTTTTCTTTCCTCTCCTTCCACTTCTTCTTCCTCTTCACTGGACAGAACAACTAAGCATGGCAAAAATGGAATTATTGACTTCAAATAACAATCATACACAGTTAGAAAAAATGTTGGTAACACTTTCTATGAAGACCATGCTTATAATGAATTATACCTCCATTTATATTTATTTATAAGTATTACTATTTTATAAACATATTTATAAAGACTCATTAAGACCTATACTGCATTATAAGAACAGTTATAGTTGCATTTATATTATTTTTATAATTACCTATAAGTCATGCATTCTCTTTTTCAATGCACATGTTCATAATCCATTATAAACTGATTTATAAGTATTAATTAGTCGGCCATGTCATTCTATGAATGTATTTATAAAGATGCAACGTTCATTGCTATAATGTTAATATATTAGTAACAATGACTTTAGTAATTCAGACGTATTTCTGTCAAATAAGTGAATATATTGTTATTAACGGCTGTATTGAGTTCTTATAAATGCTTATTGTGTGTACTACTACTAGTTAATAACCTATATAAATGCATCATTGATGGCTTTAAGTAAAGTGAAAACATAGGATGCAATTTTCTTAAAGCAAATGTTAAGAAACCATTAAAGATGTGCTCATTATCAGTTTAAGTTGTTTACTTGTAAATGTAACTACTGAACAATAATTCCTGTAATAATGAAGAAAATAATTAATACAAACAGTTGAAAATACTCTTTTAAATGTTACATACTTGCAAAACACTGCAACAATATTTTAAAGCATAATTCCAAACAAACTGCTATAAGCAATACCATGCATATGGCTGAGGAGATATAGATTTGAACAAATCAAAATTACCAATCATTACCTCTAATGCAAACATTAGCCATTAAAGACATAATAAGTAATTGGTACAACAAACAAGTGTCTCTGGAACTATTTTATATTTGATCATTTATAAACCAGTGTATAATGGATTATGAGCATGTACACTGAAGAAGAAAATGCATGCCTTATAATTACAAAAATAATAAACATAATTATAACTGTTCTTATAACACAGTATAGGTCTTAATGAGTCTGTATAAATATATTTATAGAATAGTAATACTTATAAGTACGTATAAATGGGGCTATAATTCATTATAAGCATGGTCTTCATAGAAAGTGTTACCAGAAATTTCTCTAAATCTCTTTTATGTTCCACAGAAGAAATAAAGTCATGCCGTTTTGGAACAAAATGAAGATAAGTAAATGATGACAGAATTACTCACATTTTTTTCCGTCCATTTCATATCTTTAAGTATACTGTAGGCTATTTTCAAATGGTGACAATTATACCTTCTTTTTTCTTTGAGAGAGAGAAAGAGACAGAGAGAGGGGGAGAGAAAGAGAGAGAGAGACGTTGGTATAACCATACTATTTTCGGCTTTACCTTGAAAAGCTCAGTGAAACTGACAAATGTCTTTTTGTTTTGCTTACCATGCACGCCATAAAGCCAGCAGAAACAGGTAGATTAGAAATCCATGCGAATGACCCCATCGCAGAGCCATTGTTGAGTTATTCCCTGCCGAAGAAGTTATTTCAGTCTTCAAGTTCGTCTTAAAAATTATTTATATAAGAATGAATCAAGGCAAAACTTCCAGTGCCATATTTCTGCCGTGTCACTAGTTAAAATTGCTTATTTCTCTGGATTTAAATATTCTTCGAAACATTTGGGATAATGTAAGTAGTACACAAGTCAGCAAAATATATAAACACTGTTCTAGTGGTTTTCGGATATTTTAATAAAAAAATCTTTATTTAAATAAATGCATTTTTAAAACGCATCCCTGTCTTTACTATACGGTCTAATCAAATTCATCCAATCCGCCGTCAGCAGTGAGAGCATGAAGACCAATAATTCTGCAGTGAAGCTGACATACGCAATCCTCCTAAATGACAACATGTCGTGGAGCTCGCGCTCGGCTGTGATGAAGGTGTAATACGACGCATACGTGTACACAGTTAATACAGTATTCAAAGGGGGCGGGGCGTAAACAACCGCGCGTAAACGAATTACAATTGTTACATTGTAGCATAGGAAGTGTGACATCGGTTCCGCGCATGCGCACTGTGCGACTACAGTCCCATCGGTGTTTATAATCTGAATGTAAATGTATCAGGCCCATTTATCGTGTCTCTCCAGTTAATTGTGACAAATAGCATGCTAACACCCTTAGCAGTGCGTACAGGCAATCATATTCTGAGGTTATGTGATTTTTCCACTGGTTAAGGGTGGGAAATTCACACATGACTGTTTTCAAAAACACTTGGCCACTTTATGGTCCTTCTGAGAAGCATCGGGGGACACGATCCCCATCCAAACAAAGACCACGAGGAGCTAACAAGCCCAACTTTAAGTGCTCAAACCCCTGATGGGCAAAGATGAGGAGCCCGTCCAGATAAACAGAAACCCAGGCTCTCGCACAGCTCACCCGCTGAGGTCTCCTGTAAGTACCGCTCCAGCTGAGGGAACGACAGCTCGGGCAGATCCAGAACAGACCCGTAGCGCTCCAAAAACGAGCAGACCACCGCAAAACCGGGACTGACATCTGGAGGAAGAGCCGCTGTGGAGCCCGGAGCAGCCATCTTTCCTGGAGATGACGAGCTGTGCTCTGCTTAGACCCAAAACTGCCCACAATACACCGCGACACCCCCCAGAGAGCGCTTCAGCGAGATCCAGAGGGGCAGCTAACGCGCGCGGAGCGCCACAATGCCACCACCACCATCATCATCCTCATCATCCTCATCCTCACAACAATAAAGAGGATGAAGACTATAAAGTGCTGCTTTAACATGCCACAGTGTGTTTGTTTTTCCACTGGCTCTTCTGTAATAGAAACAGCGTCGTGCTTGTGTTTATTCGTGATCGGGATGAATAGTTAAATAAATAATATTTAAATGCAAATTTAAAAAAATAGAAAAATACTTTGATATAATATGATATATAACTATATATATATAATATATTATATAAAGTGCTGCTTTAACATGTCACACTTGTTTCCACAGACATTTTTATATTGTAAACAGTGTCGTGCTTGTGTTTATTAGTTAAATAAGTACATAAATGCGTAATATATTTAAGTATAGACATTAATAATAATAATAAAACAGAAAATGATATTTATTAATTATGACCAAATAATATAATATATATATTTTTTTTTTTCTGTATATCCTTTAATTAATTTACTACCGTCAGCAATATAATAGCACGAAAACCAATAACAGTAATTATGATATGACGTAAACAAATGCAATTATTCTAATAATAATATCTTATAATATATCGTGTATATACGTAGTGGCAGCTTATTGTACGTCACTGAACGCCAGCCAATGAGAAGCGTACGCTGATTTGACGCCGGCCAGTGACGTACCTTGTGGGCGTGTCCCGCCGTCACACGAAGAGAAACACAACACAAGCAAGATCGAGTTGCAGGCCGAGGCAAGATTATATAATATAAAGGAAATACATTTATAGTGCATGATTTATAAAGTTGTTTTGGTTACGAATATAATTTGTTGCATGAATAAAAAGCTCGTTTAAAGCGGATAAGGCATGTTTTGTTGTGTGCATTCATATACAAGTGCTTCTAAATGGTATTTTAGGTTAATAACATGTTAAAAAGCAGTTAGGGTTGATTAGATTAGAGTGGCATCGCTTACAACAAAGTGCATGGATGGTGCCAGATAGTAAAACCATAGTACTGAAATTTTAACCTATGTACTATTGTATTTACAAGGAACTTTAAAAAATAGCATGGTACTTAATAAAATGAATGCATGTGATTTGTCTTCCACTCTGTTACAGGAAAGCTGAGCATGTCTTCTCCAGAAATTGCATCTTTATCCTGGGGCCACATGAAGGTCAAAGGTTGCTCCACATCCTATAAAGACTGTAAAGTGTGGCCGGGTGGCAGCCGAGCCTGGGACTGGCGTGAAACTGGTACAGATGTAAGATTAACACCAGATCACACTGTAAAATCATCCTCAACTTATGACATTATCCTCTTACAAGTTCACATTGTCATAAAAATTGCAACGTGTTTGAGAGCCATTTGATGTTACAGAAATGCCTGATATAATGTACATTATGTCTTTTGTTTTGTCAGTGCAAAACACATTGTGTCTACTGGAATACTGATTTGTTTTATTACTGTTTTCTACATTTTAGAATAATAGTAAAGCTTTTAAAACTATGAAATAACACAAATAAAGTATGGGAACTATGTAGTGACCAAAAACATATCAGAACCAGTTTGCTTTAATTAAATGTTATTTATTAGAGATCTGTCTAACGTGCATCTGTGCTCCTGCCAGCATTATCCAGGCGTCCAGCCGGCCGACCTGGAAGACGTCCTGAGGAAAGGAGTGCAGACGCTGGTCATTGGAAGAGGGATGAGTGAAGCTCTACAGGTAACAATGTGAATTTGCTGATCAGCACTGTCCATCATCTGAATATTGCAATCTTTAAAGGAATAGTTCACCCAGAAATGAAAATTTGCTGAACATTTACTCACCATCAAGGCCATCCAAGATGAGTTCGTTTCTTCAGGGGAACAGATGTGGAGAAATTGAGCATCACATCTCTTGCTCAGCAATGGATGCTCTGCAGTGAATGGGTGCCGTCAGAATGAGAGTCCAAACACAGCTGATAAGAACATCACAATAATCTACACCACTCCAGTCCATCAGTTAACATCTTGTGAAGCTAAAAGCTGTGAGTTTGTAAGAAACAAATCCATCTATGATTTTAACTTCAAACTGTTGCTTCTGGCTAAAATAGGAGTCCATAATCCATAATAACTCTTCCTCCAGTTAAACAGTCCATCTCCTGTTGTCCTCTCAAATCCACCCACATATGTGTTTAGAGCTGTTTTTGCTAGTAAATGGTGTTTAATCTGTACATATTTCTCTCCTGATTCAGATGAGATTACTTTTTCCATTGGAGGAAGCCTTATTATGGATTATGGACTCAACAACAGTTAAAAGTTAAAACATCTTGATGCATTTGTTTCTTACAAACACGCAGCTTTTGGCTTCTCAAGACATTAACTGCTGGACTGGAGTGGTGTGGATTATTGTGATGTTTTTATCAGCTGTTTGGACTCTCATTCTGATGGCACCCATTCACTGCAGAGGATCCATTGCTGAGCAAGTGATGTAATGCTACATTTCTCCAAATCTGATGAAGAATCAAACTCATCTACATCTTGGATGGCCTGAAAAGGAGTACATTTTCAGCAAATATTATTTTAAATAAGCTACTTTGCTTTTTTTATGTTTCAGGTGCCTCCGTCCACCCTAGATTACGTGAAGAAGCAGGGTGTCGACGTGAGGGTGTTTCAGACCGAGCAGGCCGTTAAAGAATATAACGCTCTGGTGGAACAGGGAGCTAAAGTCGGCGGGGTCTTCCACTCCACCTGCTGATCACATCATTAACACAACCAGCTAATTCATTTTATGGGTTGTTTAAAGTGCCTTACATTTCAAATGAACATTGTTTTCTTAATAGATGCTTCATAATTTACACTGAGCTATTGGATGATTTTTTTTCCTTTGGTGAAAATGTTATTTGCTTTATAATCGTTGGATGTAGGCTGTGAAAATACCCCATTATCACACACACCAGTGATACAAATGAACAAAAAAAAATACATTTATTTCAGATAAAACGTAATTGTGAAAACACTTGAGTTTGTGGTGGCTGTTAATTTCACATGTACTGCTTGGGTTCGTCAGGTCAGCGGCGAGCTGGTTTGGGCATGATGAAGACATTGACGGGTTTGCTGAGGTGGATTGTGCCCTCGATGCAGCTCTCGCTGGTGGGCAGGCCGTCCAGACTCTCATTCCACACAGGTTTAGAGGCAGATGGTTTACTGCTGCTGGAGCTGTAGGCCAGGAGCAACCGCACCTCAACCTGACAGGCCTCTGAAAGTAAAAACCCGTTATTTTAGTATCGTTGAGATACTACTATAGTTTTTATTAATATTTTGAATTCGATTTTAATATTTTCTGTTTTCATTTTAATTGAATTTTTTTGTGTTTCTGTCATTTTTATAAATATGTTTATATAGTTTTTATTTTAGTTTTAGTCATTTGAGTTAAACTAAATATAAATGGGAAATGTTTTTAATATTTTATTTTATTTCAAGTAACAATGTTTTTTTTAATGGTTATAATAATATATAATAACACAATATAAAAAATAAGAACACAAAAATGTACGATGCACTTTAGATTACATTCTACTTTACGCTGCCATTGCACTCCTACAAAAATGACGTTTTAGTCATTTGAGTTAAACTAAATATAAATGGGAAATGTTTTTAATATTTTATTTTATTTCAAGTAACAATGTTTTTTTTAATGGTTATAATAATATATAATAACACAATATAAAAAATAAGAACACAAAAATGTACGATGCACTTTAGATTACATTCTACTTTACGCTGCCATTGCACTCCTACAAAAATGACTGGGATGGTAACAGATGGTATATAAATGCACACATTAAAATACTATGGTATAGTAAAAAGCACTCCAAGGTACTTTTGTTAGTGTAGTGTACGAAAACCTTTTTAATGATAATGTCTTCCTGCAATTTGTTAGTCAGCATAAAACGTCATTTGCAAATATTTTACTTCAGTAATCCTAAGAATTTCCGTGCAAAAACAGTATACCGTGAAACTGATATAATTAAAGTAAATACTATTTTTTTTCTTTTGAATAGCATGCACTGATGACTTGTGCAAAATGAACCCTTTATACAGACTGATGCCACATTTCCACAGTTATTAACATCGTAAATCTTAAAGGTTGTTTATATATATATATATATATATTTTTTACATTTAATGTACATTCATAATACTATACTCTGTGTTTTCTACATTGGCATTAAATTACAGAAAGTGTTTCTAAAACAACAGCTTGAGGAAGTGACTGCAAATTGGACATCTTTCTCTTTCTGACCACTGTAATCAATCAATTTTTTCCCTTTTTTGTAAGGTCATAGAAACACTGTTGTGGATTTTTTTTTTCTTTTGCTATTGGGGCAAATGGAAAGGCAAAAATTATATTTATTGTCGTTTCCGTTCACCACTACAGAAGTTAAACTCGACTATGACGGCTTACGCTTCTGAGAACCCTAGAAATATGTAAAGGGTTCATAAATGTAATCAATTTTGATTTTCTCCAAAGCAGAAATTTATTCAGCCTCAGTTTTCTGCTGGTCACACAGACACTCACAGATATAAAATAACTCCTGCCTTGTTGGGACTAGATGCAGTTCTATTTATATCTGTGGAACTGTGAAGGGTTCATGCTATTCGCTGCCAGCAGAGAAGGATTTGTCTTTGGTGTTTGCAGCATTATTTTATACAAGGACAAAACACAAAGAATAGCTACTGGATAATAATCCTCAATCAAAAATACACGACCGATGTCTTGATGTGCACGTGTCTACTAAGACTCATTTTAGAAAGGACACGTACCTGTCCAGGCAGAGTGAGAGAGATAAACCTGCGTGATCAGTCGCACACGTCCAGGTCCTGGGGTCCTGAAATCTCCAGGTTTGGGGTGGATTATGTGAGACTGTCCATCTGGATACAGCACCTGTGGGACAATGAGGAAAACATGAATAATGTGCATCAATTGCACACAAATTTTATTAAACAGATTTAAAGCCAACATAAAAAAAATTTTCACAACAGGATTTTCACTGAAAGATTGCGGACATTTATGCAACTGGCAGATGCTTCTATCCAAAGCGAATGCATTCATTTGAAATTTTTATAATTTCTTGCATTCAGTGTGAATCAAACCTATGACCTTAGCATGCATAGGTTGGGATTTAAATCTAGGAATTGATTGGATGGGGAAACGGGTCTACAAATGGTTGAAAAGTCCTTTTTCTAAGTAAATTGTTCTTAAAAACCCCTTTTTTTTTTTTTTTTTATGATTTATCTGAAAAGAAATTATGTTAAAGCCTCTGACCTGCACTTTGACTGTAGTCTGTGGATCTTGTACATGTTCAAGAGTAGCATCGATGTCTAACGCCACCACCAGACCAGAGGTGAATTTCAAAGGGTTGTCTGATTCTCCCGTCGGCTCAATAATAGTCGCTGACGCCCTGTGGATCTGACAAAGCAAAATAAACAGAAAAAAAGATATTCCAACAAACAAGCTACAACTTTCCGAAGCTGTTTGTGTGTAAGAGTCCACAAACCTGCTCGGGTAGCTTGAGATGGATGAATCTGCTTTGTCGCAGTGTGGTCTGAAGGATTTTAACCAGATCAAGAGGTTTGCAGGCCGTCAGCCTGGGCATCAACTCCAGGAGTTTCTCCACAAAACTGTCCTGGAAATGGGGCAACTCTGTCATGAAGAGCCTGAGAATGTAACGACGAGAATATTCAGTGATTCTTCACACAGAACAATGCTTAGGTTGAGATTTGATGCATTTATTACACATCCTCTTTGAGTGCTTTTACCTCTGAAATGACTCCACATCCTGCAGGAACTTCTCACAAACCCCAAGAACCCGGTCAACCCTGTCATTTGGAAGAAGAAAGACGATCAGTTTCAAAACGTTGAGATTTAATTGTGTTCGAAAGTTTATTAGTAAGTGCTAACCCGCGTTTGGATCGGGCCATCAGGATGAGCTGTAACGCTTTCGCCTGCAGCCGGACGTTGTGAATAGTGGCGATCTGCTGCGTCTCCAGACCGCTGTACAAGAACTCCAGCTTATAGGTCTCATCCAGGATCTATCACACATCATCAGTGATAATCACTTATCATTAGTCAAAAGTTTGGTGGGACGGCTCAGGTTTAAATTCATTTCGATTGGACATACCTGTCGAGCGGCTGTTGAAACTTTGGCATTTTGTTTAAGACAAAGTGGCACAGCCATGGTCCATAACTTCTCCTGGAGTGCCTGGGTTCGAAAGAAATATAAAAGTTATGGATATGCCTTATTTTATCGATACGGTTATGAAGGTTTACATAAGCGTTCAAAGGTTTGGGGTCGGCAAGATTTTTCAATGTTTAAAGTCTCTTATGCTCACCAAAGCTGCATTTACAGTATTTGATCAAAAATACAGTAAAAACTAATACTGTGAAATTTGTAATTTTTCTATGTGAACATACTTTAAAATGTAATTTATTGCTGTGATCAAAGATGAATTTTCAGCATCATTACTCCAGTCTTCATTGTCACATGATCTTCAGAAATCATCATTCTAATATACTGATTTGCTGCTCAAGAAACATCTCTGATTATTATCAGTGCTGAAAACAGTTGTGCTGCTTCATATTTTTGTGATACATTTTTTCAGGATTCTTTAATATAGAAAGTTCCAAATAACAGCATTTATTTTGAAACAGAACTATTTTGTACCATATAAATGTTTTTACTGAAGCTTCTAATCAATTTAATGCATCCTTGTTGAATAAATAAATGTCCTACTAACTCCCAAATTTTGAATAGTAGTGTATTCAATTTTATTCGGTAACAATAATAATGACTAGGTTTTTAGAGTTGTGCTAATGAAGTACTAGCAGTGTATTATATTATATATTCACCTTGGTGAGCAGCAGTTGGCAGTGCAGGTATGTGGCACAGAAATCTGCAGATCCGGCCAACTCCGTCTGCAGCTCCCCCAACCGCAGCAGATCTCTGTATGTGACACAAATCAAAATCATCTTAGCAAACATCTTATTAAGAGACCTTCAAATAATATACAGTGGGTAGATAATTAAAGAAATGAATGAAAATCATACATTGATAAAACAATATTTAAAGAAATTATAGCATACACCACCCTTCAAAAGTTCAGTATGATTTCTTTTTAAATATTTTTAAAAGTAGTCTCTCCTACTCACAAAGGCTACATTAATTTAATCAAAAATACAGTAAAAACTGAAATATTACAATTTAAAACAGCTATTCTATTGTAATATATTTTAAAATGTTATTTATTCCTGTGATGCAAAGCTGGATTTTCAGCATCATTACTCCAGTCTTTAGTGTCACATGATCTTCAGATATCATTCTAATATGCTGATTTACTGCTCAAGAAACATTTCTGATCATTATCAATGTTGAAAGCATTTTGTGGAAACTGCTTCCTTATTATTAATGTTTTTTTAATGTCAGTATTAATGAATGCATCTTTGATAAAAGTATTAATTTCTTCCAAAAAATAATAATAAAAAAATCTTACGGACCCCAAACTTGTGAACGATAGTGTGTATAATAATCAAGTAAAAATTAAAAAAAGACTGGATATGAGGTACGCAGGCAGGTTTCTCACTCGGAGGTGTGGTACCAGGTGGGACAAGCTGTCACGCAGGTAGGCGTAGTGCCGAAACGTGTGATCTGAGAACAGTGCTGGCATGGTGGGACAGGATTTGGCTGCATTGAAGACCAGAACTAAAACAGCAATGTCTGAACAAACCCAGTTCAGGAAAACAAGCATTTCAACAGACACATGAATATCTACAGCTCTGAACAGACAGGCAGCAGAAGTTATCCAACTTAGTTCAAATATTATCAGTCTGAACAGCAAATAAACAAATCATGAAATCAGATTTTTGGAAATGCATTTCAGCCTGAATATTGAGATCAGATTCTTTCCTGCCGGATTCTTCAGGATTCAAAGCAAATTGCTTATTTTGTATTATTCATCACTTTTTAGTTATTGTTGACAAAAGTAAAAAATGTAAATGCATATGTTAAAAGTCAAATGCATTGACATGTTATCAGGATACAGGCAGGGTCGTCCATGTCTGGTTCTGGAGTGTCGAAATACGGATGTGTGCTCAGCAGCTCAGGGACAATCGGCAGCACCAGGGTTGGGTGCCGAGCACCAAGGAACTTCAGACATCTGGATTGAAGGAGGACAAAAACAAATTAGAATGGGGCTGGATGACAGCGAAGAACGGACAGGAACAGCCACTGGAACTCACTTCCAGACTGAGTTGCGGTCGGTCGGGTACTTGGTGAGGTTCTTCAGGAGTTCCAGGAGGGCCAGCTGGATGCAATCTTTAGTGGACACGTTAGTGTAGCAGAGCAGCTCATGCAATGCCTCGCGAATGTCCCGCGATGAGTCCTGCAATGAATGGGCAATTAACTAGTCTGAATGATTTGGGGAAACGTGTAATTGCAAATCTTTTAATAAAAATGTGATTTAAAAAAATAAATGCGCTAGGTTTGCTGTGCTTGTTTGCAGGGCTGCACAATTTAGCCAAAAAGAAAATGGTGATTATATTTAAATATGACTATATAATAATAATGCTAAATAGTAATCATTATCATTACTACTACATAAAACATTTAAAAAAATAAGAATATTACTATTGTGATATTTCACTTAAACAAAAATTTTATAAAACAAATATTATTAATAAAATAATAATAATTATCTAACTGCAATTTTTCTGCTAAAAAAAAAAAATGCAGGTTTGCTGTGCTTGTTTGTAGGGCTGCACAATTTGGCCAAAATTGTGCAATTATATTTAATATGACCATACTACTATTACTATTCATTAATATTAATATTAATTATTGTTTTATATTCTTCTTGTTGTCAGGTTTAATTAATAACAAAAATGTATTCATTTTCAAATGCAGATAACTGCAGAGAGCACAAAGTTTGCTGAGCTACGCTTCACCACTGAAACATGCAGTGTATATATTTGTTTCATTAATAAAATGATCAAATTGCAGCTTTTGTGATTTGATAATCACACTAAGCCATATTGCGATTTTGTTATATTTTGATGAACCATACAGCCCTACCTCATATATCGGTATTTCACTAGATCAGGGGTGTCGAACTCAATTCCTGGAGGGCCGGAGAGTTTTGTTCCAACCCTGCTCCAATACACATACCATGTAGCCTGAAGGACTTGATAAGTTGGATCAGATGTGTTTAACTAGGGTTGAAAGGGGCTCCGGCCCTCCAGGAACTGGGTTACACACCTCTGCACTAGATAATGCTTTAAAATGACATATAGAGCACTTATGTTTACATTGTGCTCTGTGGTTTTGACTTTGTCACATACACTAGTGGCCCACCTCCAGTACTGCGAGGACAGTGTCCAGCTGGTCTTCTCTGAGGGTGATGTGAGTCGAGATCTGCCGCAAAACGTGGATAGACTGTAGCCGCACCTCCTCGATTTCATCATTAAACATGTCCACCAGGAAGTCAAGACACTTCTCAGCAAAGCTGGGTGAGGATTGGGCGAGGGAACATAGCGCCTCTACTGCAGAGATACGCACCTCTGTGAAAAGTGATATTAAAATGAATAACCCAGCTCTGGAACAAAGTGCTAAAATGTCCTCAAAGATAAATAATGGTAGTGTTTTGAAATACATACCGTACATCTCATCTTCCAGGCCATGAACAAAAGCCCCACAGGCTCCAGAGTCGATGAGATTTACACCCGAAGTGTCGACTTTCTCTTTAGGAGCATCGTCGGCCCATCGCCGTCCAGATGAGAATTCTCCAGAAGCGTACAGTTCTTTTGCTCGCTCATGAGCAGTACGTTTCCTCTGAGATAGATTGAGAATGATATTTTAAACATTTCTTGCCTGCGAGTTTCTTGCATGTTTTTTGTCATTTGTTGTGTGTAAATACCCTGAGATCTGACATCAGCTTCTTGTCTAATGTCTGCTCCAGAAAATGAGGGCTGACTTGATGCATTGAGCCCTGAGAGAGAGAGAGCGAGAGAGAGAGAGAGCGCGAAACAGATGGATGGAAAAGTCAGTGGTGAGTTAATAAGAAATTAATCATGTAGCGAGAGAGCGAGAGAGCGAGAGAGCGAGAGAGCGAGAGAGCGAGAGAGCGAGAGAGCGAGAGAGCGAGAGAGCGAGAGAGCGAGAGAGCGAGAGAGCGAGAGAGCGAGAGAGCGAGAGAGCGAGAGAGCGAGAGAGAGCGAAACAGATGGATGGAAAAGTCAGTGGTGAGTTAATAAGAAATGAATCATGTGGTTGTGCTACAAACACACCCAACACTCACCAGCAGTTTCGCAGCTTGCACTCTGACTACCCATGAGCCGTCACTGACCATGTGACAGATCTTCCCGAAGGAGTCGTCCACCAGTCGGATCTCCTCATTGGAGGAGGGGATGGGAACAATACTGTTAATGCACAAGGACAAAATGAATGTTCAATCCATGTTAAAAGACTTCATTCTTGAGTTTCTCGAATTGAAATTACCATTTAAAACAGTGCAGGCTTAGAAAGCAGTAAGTACACAATGGCTGCAGTCAGCTTTACCTACTCTTGAAGACTGGATGGACTCATATAGCAAAACACAAACTAATGCTTCAGAAGGACAGACGAGATTGACTCTCTACCTCTCAGGATAAAGCTGGCTCAGAACCCAAACCATCTGCACCGCTGCTGAACGAACCTGCTCATAATCATCACTCAAGAGCTTACAGGCCTGTCCAGGGGATCAGACATTCATATGTTAGTTATTTCTTTTGTAATTTCATGCTCAGAGGAATGAAAAATGTAAAACATACAATCCCATTTCAAAAGTTTGGTAAGATTTTTTTATTTTTAAATTAATACTTACAGCAAGGATGCATTAAATTGTTTAAAAGTGACAGTAAAGACATTTATAAAGTTGCAAAAGATTTCTATTTCAAATAAATGCTGTTCTTCTGAACTTTCTATTCATCAAAGAATCCTCAAAAATAAAATGCTTAATGGTTTCCACAAAAATATGAAGCAGCACAACTTTTTATAACATTGATAATAATAAGAAATATTTCTTGAGCAGCAAATCAGGATATTAGAATTATTTCTGAAGAATCATGTGACACTGAAGACTAGAGTAAAAAATTCAGCTTTGATCACAGCAATAAATTACATTTTACAACATATTACAATAGAAAACAGTTATTTTATATATTAATACTATTTCATATTTTTGCTGTACTTCTGATCAAATAAATGCAGCCTTGGTAAGCAGTTTTCAAAAACAAAAAAATCTTACCAGCCGTAAACTTTAGAACGGTAGTGTAAGATTATTATAGCTGATATTGACCTGGTTATAAATAGTCTGTTGAATTTTCATCCCTCTTTCATGCAGCTGCAGCTGATTGGAGAAAGAAAAACACACTGAAGTCATTTAAAGAAACACAAGTAAATAAAAGCCACATTCGATGCATTTTAACATGCCGTTATTCCACAGAGCTCATGTACCATGGCTTTGATGGCGGCGGTGCGGACGCGAGGGTCCTGGTCCTGGAAGTAGTCGCTGATCACACTCTGTACATCCCGTACGTGTGATGTTTGTGCTCCGGGTCCTGCATCAGTCTCTTTACTGAGAGGTTTATCAACCGTCCCCAGACAGCCCAGCAGCTGCAGACACTTATTCCTCACTCCGAAATAAGTGCTTGAGAGATGCTGAGGAAAAATATGACATGAAAGTAAATTATTATACAATAATAATAATAACTCGGATTCAGAATTATGTTAAAAAGCTGATGAAATCAGTTAATTGTTACTGGCAAAAAGTATGATTTCAGTGTTTAGGAATGGAAGAAATCTTAGTTATTAGTCACCTTGCAAGCCACATCTATAAGTCTCTGAATGACAGCGATCTTGTCTGGGAGTTGAGTACCAATGATCAGCAGAGTGCCCAGAAGCTGAGCCAGAACCTGATGAGACTCTAAAACACAGTCAGAATTCTTAGAAAAATCTAATTTCTACACTCTGCATTATTCAGGACTTAACAGTAAGGAATTTTTCTGCTGGTCTAATTGGCTAGCAGTTCAGATTCTCACTAGTTCATTCATTTTATATGTGTCAGAAATTATATATATATATATATATATATATATATATATATATATATATATATATATATATATATATATATATATATATATATAT